TAGATTTTTTAAATATATTTCATATATGTTATTATATATTTGATAAAAAATGCATGGAGAAATTTTATAAAGTAGTAGCAAAATAAAATAGGAAACATTCTTTTTTTAATATGAAAATCTTTATTGCATTTTTTAAATAAAAATTTTTTATATGTTTAATTCTATAACTCTATAACTATAGAATTTAACGTGCAAGTACCACAACTAAACGTTTTCTCATCGACTTCAATATTAGGTATTCGAAGAAGATGATGTGAGTGATTTTCGAGCCGCAATGGCGACTGAATTGAATTCCGCGGTCTATTTCCCGGAACGGGCGAGATGCACGAGTCCAAGAGGCGGGTTTTCGCGGCGAAGAATTTCATTGAACAGTTCTTTGCCCTAGGCCGTGATCCGTCGTGGCCGTAATAGGCAGGGAAATGCTTGTAGGATGTGACGGGATATGGCAAGTGGAGCTGTTCAATTCGCTGAACTGGTCCAGCGTGTGCTACCGCAGAATCGATCGCAGCTGACACGTCGAATGCCTAAGTCGGCGTTTTTCTGAGCACGCGGAGTCAACAACCCCTTGGCGTGTCCCTGATGTCCTAAGTCCGGTGACAACGCATCAGTAATGAGTACGTATACGTCATGAAGCAATTTGATTTGAGATTGTAAATAGTGATACGAATCGCGATTATCACGCAATCAATTAATGATCGGTATATACATATATATTTTACATATTTTATTAACGAAAGTTTTCTAACAGAAATAGATGGAACTGATATTATTCAAAATTAAATAAAAGATTTATACATTTTGCATATATAATATTTTAAAGTAGTTACGTTCTTATCCAATAAATATCCCGCTACCAAGTACTTACAGAAAATTTTCATGGTGATCTTGATTTCTATTCTGAAACGGCAAATTGTCGAGACTCGTGTGATGTGTATATATATATATATATATATATATACATGTATATATATCGCGATGCACGAGACTTCGTGACCACAAACATTATCTTGACTGCTGAAATGGCCCTTTGAGGAAGTAAACAAGCTGCGTCTGTATTCGCAATATACTGAAATATCAGCTCCTTTTTCATCATTTTTTAATCGTTTAATCAATTCTTTCGTCTAATTTTTTCAATAATATCGATCATAGAAAAACACATAAAAGAAATATTTAATAATAATTTTGAAATAATGTAAATGATTTTTGAACAATTTTTTATAAAGCTTCGTATGACGTAAGTTCATATCACAATATATTTTCTATATTTAGTAAATACCTCGTGATATTTATTCGATAACTGGTACATATCTCATCTCGCCGAAGAGTTGCTTCCTTCGTGCGCATAAATCAGATATATAAAAATTCTACGAATTGCTGAAATTATTTCCAATAAGCCAATCGAGTTATCTTCAAGTGAAATTCAGCAGTTTGGAGGTCAGGAGACGATTTCTAACCGAAGCAGTCAATGAAATTTTGTAATCGAGACCGAAGGATCGCAAATTGGTAAAGAGATTGGCCACGCAACACACATTCCTGCAGTTGTGTGCAGTGCATTGGCGAAAGGCGCTCTCGTTTGGTTCACGAAATGGAAAGGGGCACACCCATAACACAATACACCGTGTTATAAGAAATCTGCGTGGAGAATCTATGAGGAAAGTCTCATTCATTGAATTCATTATCAAGTTTACAATTGTAAATGCAACATAGACGTTGCATGAATAAATTGTGAATATTGTTTAAGTTATAATCTTAATAATCTAAGAATTAATATAATTATATAATATTATTATATAATCTTAATATAATTTAAGAATTATAATTAATTCAAATAATAATAAATAAAGGGCAAAGTAAGAGTCAGCATATTTCGTTTTAAAAAAAAAAAATAGTCATCCAATTAAAAGAAAATACAA